AGGACGGGATGGGATGGAGGACGGGATGGGGGATGGGATGAGATGGAGGATGGGATTGCATGAGGGGTGGAGGACAGGATGGTTGGGGGACGGGATGGGACAGGGCAGGATGGGGTGCGATGGAGGGTGAGATGGAGGATGAGATGCGATGGGACAGGATGGGATGGGATGCAATGGAGGATGACATGGGTTGGGATGGGGGACAGGATGGGATGAGATGAGATGGAGGACGGGATGTGATGGGATGGGACGGAATGAGATGTGATGGAGGATGGGATAGGATGAGGGGCTGCATGGGCCTGCCCCGTACTGTCTGCTCCTTAATGTACCGCCCAGCCATAACCTGGAAATGAAGCACTTGCCCGGTGCTGACCCCGAGCTCGTGCTCCTCAGCCACCGATACGAGGAGCTGGAGGTGAGCGGGGCGCACGGTACTCGCCGCTGCAGCAGGGTCTGGGGTGGTTGGTGCCCCACAGGTGCCAGGCTGCAATCCCTGTCTGCGTGCAGAGAATCCCCCTGAGCGACATGACCCAGGAGGAGATCAACCAGCTGGTGCAGGAGCTGGGCTTCTACCGCAAGGAGACGCCTGATGCCCCTGTGCCTGAGGAGTTCCAGTTTGCCCCTGCCAGGCCTCTGCCCACCCTGCAGCCCCACCAAGCTCCTGTTGCTGATAGCAAGACCCCACCCGAACGTGACGAGGGAGAACATCCAGACCTCTAGCAAGGGGTGCCGCGCTTGGGAGAGGGTCCTGCAGCCAGTCCCCAACACGCAGGGACGAGGGCATTACAGCAGCTGGAGATGGTGCCGTGGGATGGTGAAGGTGTCCCCGCTGTTGCTTGGTGTTGTGTAGCCTCTGCCTCAAGGATGCCCTGAGCAGCTCCAGCCTTGAGCAGGGGCTTCCTGGGCATTGCGGACATCCCGGGGGTCCCGTGTGCCTGTCGTTGCCCTCCCTCCCCTGCAGCCCGGCATCCCCAGCAGGTTGGGAGGAGCAGCATTCTTTGTGCTCCCTCACCATGCCCCGAGGTTTAGCTGACTCCTGGTGCTGGGCAGCAGTATCCTACCTGTGTGGGACAGGATGAAACCCTCAGCAGAAAGCCCCAGGTGCTGAGGGTAGATGTGCTGAGTCCCAGAGGTCGGAGAGCTGCCCCCGGGGAGGGGGTATGGCTTTAAACTCCAGCAGGGTTGTCTCGTATCAAGCCCCCACTAAAGCCCTTGCATACAATTGGCTGCACTGTGTCGTCTTTCCAGGGAGGGCTCGGTGGGGCGCATCCTGCACTGCTCTGTGCTGGGTGCCGGGAGGAGCTGGGTGCCCCAGAGTCACTCGCAGAGGTGGAAGGGGATGGCAGGGTCCCAGCCGCTGCTGGCAAGCTGACAAACCGTCCCACGGACCAACTGGACTGTTCCTGTGCCACCACCTCCCCAGCGCGATGGATGGATGGATGGATGGGGCACCACAGCTTGGGATGAGCTGCTCTCACAGGGCACAGAGGGATGGGTGCAAGCCCACGAGTGGGTCCTGCAATGCTGAGCCAAAAGCCTGATGGCTGCGCTGGCCTGGTGGAGACATCTGGTCCTGGGCCGGGGAAGGGAGCAGGGCACAGCTGTGCCGTCTGCAGACCTGGCTCCGTGCAGCCTCGGTGGCAGCGTGGGGCCTTCTCCCTGTACCAGGCCTGGGGGCGACAGGGGCCAGTGAACTGATAGCCCTTGGTCAGGGTGGGACACTGATGGTGCCCCTGGGCTCCAGGCATCATCCCTGAGCAGGAGGAGCAGCATGTGCCCTGCATGTCTCCCTGGGCTGGGTCAGCAGTGCAGGCAGAGGGGTCCAAGAGCAGGCAGGGCTGCCAGCACTCCCCCCCGCTGCTGCGGCGTGCACTGTACTGGGGGCACGACGAAGAGGATGCAGCCGGAAAGAAGGACCAGAGGCAGAGGCATCACCCTATAGAATAAACCTTTATTGTCTGGCTCGTGTTGGTACACGTGTCAACGCGGGTGTAGAGACGGTGATGAAGGGATGAGCAGCGCTGAGCACGTGCTGCCCTGGGGGGGGAGGGCAGGGCCTGCCGCTCCAGCTCACTCCTTGGGCCCCTCGCTCCCCAGGTACCCCTTGCCTCTCTGCCTGCTGCCCAGCACATGGGTGCTGCAGCCCCCTGGTGTGGAAGCGCCCCAGGGTGCATGTGCATGGTGGGAAGCAGGGTGTCAGCATGGGGCTGTGGAGTCATCCCCAGGGAGGTGGCACCAAGCAGGGCCTGCGGTGGGCAGAGGGGCTTCCTCACAGGGGGCCAAGGAGAACTGCTCGTGAGTGCGCTGCCTGTGGAATGCACTGGGACCTGGGCTGGGATGCACAATCCTGCTCAGCTGCCAACCCACACCAGCCCTGGCCCGAGGGCACAGCTGTGCCCGGGCCTCCCGGGGACGCAGGGGTGCTGCCGGCGGGGCAAACAACTCCTGGAGAACAAATAA